GACCTCTGTGGGCCTGGGTGATCCTTACAGCTTAGCCTCCTGCGTAGCTGGGACCACAGGCATGACCCACCATGCCAGCCTAATTTTTATATTTTTTATAGAGATAGGGTTCCAACATGGTGTCCAGTTTGTTCTCAAACCCCTGAACTCAGCAATCTGCCAGCCTCCACTACACAAAGTGCTGGGGTTACAGGCGTAGGCACTGTGCCTAGCCTATAAACTTCATTTCTAATGACTAAACATTTTCCAATTGTATGGACATATCTTAATATATTCAAATGTTTTCCAATAGTAGGACAATCAAAACCGTTAAGATGCTGTTGCAAGACACATAAATGCACGTTATCATAGTGTATATTTTGCGTCGCTTTTTGGACAGGTCATTGGAAGTGGAATATCTAGGTCAAGGTATACATAAACATTTGCAAAGCTCTTGGTAAGCATTGCTAAGCGGCTTTCCAGAAATACTTTTTAAATGTGCATTCTCATTAGCTGAGCCTAAGAGCTTGTCTTACCACACTGCTACCAATACGTCTTTCTAATCTTCAGCAAATTATTGAACAGCAGCAACAAAAAAATGCTAATTTGCACTGTTCCGTAGTCTGGACTATATTTTCCCCCACTGTTCTCAGGAGACAAACCACACGATCTGGGCTTCAGCCTCCAAGGAGGTATAGCCGTGGCCAGGTCTCACCTGTGCTGGTCTAGGGCTGTGCTCAGGAATCACATTGGTTACTGTGCTATGAGTCTAGGGAGAGGGCCCAAAGGCTCCACAGATTCCCGGGTGTTCCACAGGAATATGGCTCAGGGTAAGCACTCAATAACTAGTCGTTAGCGTTGCTCTTGTCAGTACATGATCTTTCTGTGACTGTTTCTCTCTTCCCCATCCTGGGACAGCTCTGCCCTTCCGTTCTGCAGAGCGGAGCTGCAGAGTGGGCTGTGCTCTTGCTTCAGGATTACTTCACACCCCTCCCCCCGTCCTCTGCCTGGATCAGTCCCAACTGCCCTTTAGTACTTGCCTAGGACTCCCACACCACGCAACCTCTGTGTTCCAAGCAACAGTCGGATTCATCTGACAAGCACTAAACAGCCCTAGGGCTGCTCCTCTGCTGTCAGCAATTTGACATGCCCAGTGAGTCTTCCCAGCCTTCACAGCTGCAGAGGCTCCTCCAGGGCAGGCTTCCCATGCTCGTCTCTGCATATGTCTTTGAACACCTCCGAGTGCTCTGTGGTGGGTGCTGGTCAGGCTGGGTTCTGTCCCAGTGGCTGCCAGCTTGGCCCTGTTCTCCTGTCTATTCTCAATGCCCAGACAGTTTCTCGGGACTGTGCTGTTGTGATTTTTTAACCAAAATCTCCATAGCATCACAAACATCAGGACTTGTGAATTACAGAAATCATGGAGTCACTGCAATTGCTATGGAAGAAGCACAATTCAATAAACAACAGAAGTAAATTTGACTCATCCATGTATTTCAAGCATCCTTGAAGCCCGTTCCTCCAAAAAGGTGGCATTGACTTCAGCGTTCATTTGTGGAGGGAGAAAGGATCTGCCTGAGTTTCTGTTACACCATGACTCTAGAGCATCAGGAACCACTTCCCTCCCAGGAGACATCACTAGGAGAACATGATCTCAAAGTGTGGCTCTGGAGCCAGCAGCAGCAGCACCTGGGAACTGGATGGAATTAGAGCCTCAACCTGAATCAGAAACAATGCTAGGGGTGAGGCCCAACCTGTGTCAAGCACTCCAGGTGATTCTGATCTGCATTCTGCACAGTGGTTTTGACAAAAGAGGGAGCTAATAAGAGCCTTCCAAGAGAAAATATATGAATACATTGTCTAGCATGGTACGTGGCACGTAGGAAATGCTATATAATTGTACAAATAAACGTGTTTCTTCTCCAGCCCACCCACCTACCCTTGACTCGTAAAAACAAGCCTGCTGGGAGAGATGGAGGAACGTGGCTTGGGGTTGGGCTGAGCATGAGTGAGGTGGACTGGAGGCAGGGTCCATAGAGGATGCGTGGACATGACTATCTCAGGGAACAGAGAGAAGGGGAATGGAAATCTCAGAGGGACCGATGAAGGATCTTACGCTCCCAGGTTTTGGTAAAGGGAAATAGTCTTGAACTCTGATGTCAATGTTTTTTGGTGCACAAGTCACAGCAGAGCTGGCCAGCTGGACTGCCCTCCAGGTTTCCCACTGAAACTACCTTCCAGCTCTTCCTGGCATGTGTTGCTGCGAACTCTCTTTTTTCTACCAGCCAAGCCCGGCTCTTTCGTCCTTCTTGGCCTCAAAGTTAGCCTCTCTGTGGAGTTGTCTCCATTCCTCCTCCTCTGGAGTCCCCTCCTCTCACCCTCCCTTCCCACCTCAGACATCCATAAGTTCCTCAGTTGCAGCTCTATCTCCATCCTGACCACAGAAGAAGCATGAGTTATAAGCTTCGGCTCTGATGACATTTTATGAGTGACCTAGTCATAGAGAAGCACCTATTGGGACACCCCAGGCAAAACACCTGCCAGTACCAGGACTCAGTCTCCCATTTATCCAGTATAAAGGTTGCACTGAAAGCCTTCTAAAGTTTTCTCCTAGCCTTCAAGTTTCTAGCTCTCTCTGTTTGTCACGTGAACTAATGTATAAGAGGCCCTGCCCTTCTAGAGGATGTGTAAGTTCAGAGATGGGGTCCAGCTGCAGGCCACCACCCTGCTCCCTACAGAATGAAACAGGCCCAGGTGAGTGACATCAGCAAACCGGGCACATCTAGACTATGTGCTGGAACATTCTGAGCTCTTATGAAAATGTAACGTTGATATTTTTTGTTTTAAGGGAAAAAAGTTATTTCATAAACACACTTCTTTTTAACCTCACTTTACTGTGTCCCAACTTCAGTGTTGTTGGGATAACCCTGTTAGACAGGGGGTCACTGGACAGGAAGTTCAGGGGCAGTGCCAGCCACATAGGCCTTGAATTAGGCAGCCTTGACTATCAAACTTAATGCTCCCTGTGGTCTTGGCAAGACATTACCACTAATGTCTTACCCTTCCTGACCCTGTTTTTCTGCAGCTCCAATTGGGCAGTGCGTTGCAAGGCTGCTGTGAGGCTAAGCAAGTTCCTATAAGTGCATGGTCTTCTATAAGTTAGAGGAGTCATTAATGATACCATAGAGTTGGGACATGTCATCCACATGCCCCATTCCATATTCCAAGGTTTTCTGGACATGCCCAGGAAAGATGGCAACTACTGATCACCTTTCATCCAGGCACAGGCCTGGAGCCCATGCCCACGGCTGGACCCAGGGAGCGTGTCCCAGCCTGTCCTCCCCAGTCCCAGCAAGCCAGAAGTGAGGACTCAGAGGCATTCCAGGTATTTGGAGGGAATCCAGAAGGTCTCCAGGAAACTGTAAGTGCCAGAAAGAATCAGATGAAACGATGTGACAGCCCATACTCAGCAAAAATAGAAAGGGGTGGCTGAATGAGAATAAAATGAGGGATGGAATACTTGGAAGGAAGGACTTGGAGTTCATCAAGCCCCAACATTTTTACTTACTTTGCTATTAGCTTATATCCTGTCACATTCCCAAAAGAATTAGACATGGCAAACCAAGCATTACGTGCAGGCCAGTCTGCGCCAGCCCGGCAACCTGCAGCAGCTTGAAGGGAACAATTTGGTCCCATGTCCAATTCCTGTGAGAGTGAGGGAATAAGGCAGTGAGTGTGGAGGACCATCCACACCTCCCCTCCCCTGAGCTCTGTCAGCAGGCAAGGCCATGTGCCCAGCAGGCTGAGGTCCCCATCCCACGGCAGCTGTTCACATGTGTCCCAGGACCACTTGGAGCACCTCATAGGAGATGCTGAGCAGAAGCTGCAGGGCTCCACGTGGGCACCCTTGCGTCCCCTTCACTTACCAGTTCTGCTAATCATTCTCCAGTTTCAGTGGCTTGGTCTCAGGGGTTGCCATTCTTCACATGCTACCTAGACTTCTAGAATCACTGTGGCTGCCTGTGCAGAAGGCCAGGGAAGGGGACTTGACATCTCCCCTCCCAAGGCAGCTGGAAGCCAAGGGGCCCTGAACACCTAGCTCCCTTGCTCGAGGCCAGACTGCCCTGAGGAGTAAGTAAGTGCCAAAGCTCCCCACAGGATTGCTCCTAGCTTGCTTTCCTGCCTCACTGCACCCTTGCTCATGTCTCCTGGGAGCACTTCCCCACACATCTCTTGCACAGGAATCATGGTCTCCAGAGCCCAGTCTAAAGCCCAAGGTAGACACTAGGGCTGCTTATCTCCTTGGGCATCCCCTCTTAGAAAACCACTGTGGCTTTGCAGTCTCCTCTAAGACTTGGGGCCATGTCATCTGTAGGTCCCAGCTGATGGGAATGCTACATATATACCTATCTCAAGCTGAACCCAGATTCTCCTTCAGAAATGCTGGTCAAGCAGCTTCAGGCACTCCATTGTAAGGCAATGTAAATAAAGGGCATAAGGGAAGGATTTGGGGTGGCTATTTGGGAACAGGGCTGCTGGGTGACCCTTTTACACACATGCAAAGGAGAAGCAGGTGCAGGGGACCACATGGCCTGCCCACTTCCTCAGGAGTCCCTGGACCTTGCGAGAGACCCCTACTTATGCTAAATCTCTTGCTCCTTTAATTACCAGAAGTAAAAGATCTCTGACCAGGGAACCATAGATGATCCTTTAAACACCCCAGGCACCTCCCCATCAATCAATGTCCTTGAGACTAGGGGATGAGAGGAGACCCTGAGAGGCCACTGTCCCTGTCTGGGGCCATGTCCATTCTTGACATCCGCCCAGGTTGGGGATTTTCAGGAACCAGTGGTGGGGCAGGCCCCTGGAAGGCATGGAGAAGTCTGGGTTCTGGAGCCTGGGGCAGATACCAGAGAGGGTAGCGCTGGCCTAGGGCACTCCAGAGACCCTAGAAGAGGCTGAGTTCCCAGGAACCACCAGATGTTTTACTTACAGATAGAGAGTCAGTGAGATTTTGAAATGGGTGGCATTCAGTTTTTCAAGATATCACTGTATCTTTAATTTATTAGCTTTCCATAAAAACACATAACATACACAATCTACAGTATAGAAAGTATAATTTACAAAAATATAAAATCTTGGTTATTTTTTAGTATTCCCACATGTTACTGTATGTGTTATTTCAATATGCATGTTTAAACAACCCACACTCATTATGATTATCTCTGTGGGGAATGGTGTCAATGCCCTCCTCTTTTGTTGTTTTAAAATAAAATATATATATTAAGAAAAAAACCAACATCGGTTACATGTGCATACTGTGTGGATAAAAGCTCTGCAGTGGATTTTGAAAGGAAACACCCATTTACACCACGATTATCCTGTTTTCCAAAATCACTATGTGGCCCAAAGTGTTCTGAACTGAGCATTTAAACAGAGTTCCTTCCGTGTGCAGGGAATGAGCGCCCTAGGATTTGCATAGTCTTCTTGCTCAATCATGAGATGATGATCACATCAAGCCAACATCGTGGACACCTTTTGTTTTCAGGCCTTCAGAATGCTGGGTATGAATGAGGGGCCTCTTTCAGGCCAGGGCTAATTCCTAAATTCCTTCAGGGACTCAGGCTGGCATTTAAGGGGCAAGTCACTAGCAATGAAAGACCCCGAAATGATGCACTGGCAGACAGCTCTTTCTGACCCCCGGTGATGTTGCCTGTGAGCTCTGCTCTGTGTCTGCAACTGCACTGCCAGTGAAGTCCTGGCTGCAGAAGGCTCTGAGAAGGCAGTTCTCCTGGGCGTAGCTTCTTTCCAGCCTGGAGCGGTCTCACCGGCAGGCACAGGTGTCCACGGACATGTTGGGGTACACCTTCAGAACCACATTTCGGTTCTCATCCAGGAAGAGGACCCCAAGGGAGTTCATCTTATCAGGAACACAGCAGGGCTCTGGGATGCCAGGGACGATGCCCACAGCCCTGACAATGCTCTGGATGGTGGCATGGTTGGACGGGCGGACGATCTGCAAGGCAGGAAAGGAGCAGGGTTACTCAGCTCTGCCGTCCTCCACCTCCCCCCCTCCGTGCTGTCCTCACAGTCCCAGCCCATACTGCTCTGCTGTTGTTCCCCGGCTGAGGCCATGAAAAGGCGTCTACCTAGAGGAATAGACGAGATCCCAGGGCTGGGTACACGATTCCTCTAAAATCACATGTATATTGAATCCCGGGCTGAGGTCTGTAGGAAGCCCCAGGCCTTCCTGCCCCTCGGCTTCCCTGAGGCATGCTGTGTCCCCAACAAGGCACAGCCACATGGGGGCGCCTGAGTGTCACACATCCCTGCGGACCAGGCAGAAGATGCCCAGAGGGAAAGCTCAGCAGAAGCCAGCACAGCCCTGATCTCATGGTCTGAGGAGGACAGGCATGCTTCCCACGAGGCTGTGCTCTTGTCACTGAAGGGAAGGCCTGGCACATGCATGGCAGCGTGACAGGCTGGACTCTGACATTTCCCAGGGGCTGCTCTCCCTGCGTCCCCCTGACCTTTTTTTTTTCATCAGCATAGCAATTTTATGGAGTGGGTATTGCCTGGACTTTATTAGGAAGACACTGAGGCTTAAAATGGCTGAATAACTTGACCAAGTCCCCCAGTAGAAAGTGACCTGGTTTGGGAAACTGTGCCCACCTCTGACAAGACAACCCAACAAAGTTGTCCACTTCAGAGCATCACCAGCCAAACAGAGATTTTTCTATGTAGTGTGGTTGAGGAGGAAGCCCTCTTGCGTGGGGTGGTAGGAGGGGAGCAGAGCAGGGACATCCGCCTTTGCAGTGTTCTGGCTGGTGTCCCGGAAGGTGGGGAGGCAGCAAGCCAGGGTGATAAGCTAAGCGCATGGCTGGCCAGCTGCAAGCCTGCAGGGTTTTGGGCTTGCATCTGGCTGGGTCTGTGCTAGGCCCTTTTAGCAAGCCCTGTCTCTCTGTCAGGTACCTCCCTTCCTCTTTCTTGCACATACATGGTTTTGAGGAGAAGCCATTTAATTCCCAAACATGTTACTGCTGCCCCATGTCTGGGTCTGGACTTCTCCAGCTGGCTGATTTATTTAAGTTCAAATTGGATTCATGCACTGACTTCCTTTTCTTGGACAGAAAGGCATGACCTGTACTGGGCAGAGTAACTAAGCAGGAGGAAACTGTGTGCTGAGCGTCAAGGGCTGACATCACAGGCAGTCAGGCTGCTGTAGGGCAGGCTGCAGGGAGAGGGGTGGATTTAGCCACATACCAGGCTGGAGCGAAGGTGAGAATAGGAAAGCCTGGGCTGCACAACAGACAAAACAGCCCAGTGCTGTGTGTCCTGCAGACCCTGTGCACAGTGAAGGCTGGTTGCCTGTGGATTCCTGCCCCGAGCTGCAAGGAGGAGGGAGCCCACACTGGGAGAGCCACTGATGCCAGCACTGTGCTGGTAACAGATCACCACACCCCGGGGTCCAGGCTGGGAACAGAAATGAGAGCCTTGGTCTGGAGGGAGCGTCTGGGACCTGCCCTGTGTACAGGAGGCAGCATTTACTCAACCTCTGCAGATAGTTGCTATGTGAGGATGCATTTCTAAAGAGATGAATTCTCTTTTTTTTTTTTTTTTTTTTGAGACAGAGTTTCGCTCTTGTTACCCAGGCTGGAGTGCAATGGCGCGATCTCGGCTCACCGCAACCTCCGCCTCCTGGGTTCAGGCAATTCTCCTGCCTCAGCCTCCCGAGTAGCTGGGATTACAGGCATGCGCCACCATGCCCAGCTAATTTTTTGTATTTTAGTAGAGACGGGGTTTCACCATGTTGACCAGGTTGGTCTCGATCTCTCGACCTCGTGATCCACCCGCCTCGGCCTCCCAAAGTGCTGGGATTACAACAGAATGTTCTCATTTTGAAGTCCCAATTCAACCAAGACAATAAAAAACAGGGCCAAACACGACACATTATGTGGGCGGCAACTACCCAACAGGCTGCCACTTGGTGACCTATGTCTACCTACGTCCTGCCTGGAATAGAAGGGAGGTGCTTTATCCCCATTTTGCAGATGGGGAAACAGAGATCATGCAGGCTGAGGAGCTTGAAGATAGCGGCAAAGCTGAGCCTTAGAATCTGACAACAGGCGGAAGGCACCCTACCTTAGGCATGGGGAATTCACATGCTCCCGCGCAGTAGTAGGCATCGAAAGATTTGGGTGAGATTATCCACTCATTCCAGCCGATATCTGCGAAGTCCACCTTCAGATACCTCCGGGAGCATACCCTCGGCTCACCCCACTGCTTCCTCCGGGCTTTCTGCATCGTCTTCTCGTCGAAGTCCAGCACCTGCGAGGAGGCAATGAACACCTCCTGGCCCTTCTTCCTGCGGTCTTTGCGCCCTGGCCGGGGTTTCAGCGCCCGGAAGGGGCTGGACCACAGCTGGTGCTTGTGGAAGTGCTGCGCGTGGGTGCGCGGAGGCCTCTCGTCCAGCCCCGGTAGCTCGTTGTCCTGGAGGGGCCCGGTGGCCTGGGCGGCTCGGCGCACGCGTGGGTCTGCTGAGCTGTTGGGGGCTGCACGTGGCTCGGGGTCTCCGGCAGGGAAGGGGTCGTATCTCTGCAGCGTCACCGCCACGCTGTTGGGCTCCGAGATGGCCAGGTCGTTGGCATAGACGAGCATATAGGGCGCGTAGGGGCTGGGCCGGGGCACCCCGGAGTCCCTCTCCCCAGAATCCAGCTGGGCGGAGAGGAGCAGCTCGCCATCCCGGCGGGCAGCCTTGACGATGGGGGAGATGTCCTTGGCCTGCCACAGGCCGCGCGGCGGGGACGCCAGGGCCATGGCCCCGCGGAGTAGCCCCTGCGTGGCTGCGTTCTTCGAGAGGCTGCGGAAGAGCAAGTGCTGGCGTGCGGGCGTGCTCGGGGGCAGCGGACCGCCTGAAGTGTTCTTGGCCTGCGGCTTGCACAGCACCTCGCGCGCACGGGGCCACCGAGGCGGCTCTGAGAAGAAGTGGAAAGTGGCCGTAAGGATCATTTCCGAGTCCTGAATGGAAGTCAGGTTGAAGAAATACACGGCCTTCTGGTCGATCACTTCTGTGAGGGGAAGGAGAGACCACAGGCTGTGAAATTCTCCTTTGTGCGCCCGACGGTGACGGTCTCCCACCCAGGGCAGGAGGAGCCACGCGCACCTATCCACACTTCCAGTACGCGCCCCTCTCCCTCTTTGCTTCCCTCATTTCACATAGTCCTCACAGTAAACTGATGAGGGCGCCCTTTGCAAACCTCAGGGCACAGGTGAGGAATTAAGGTTGAGATGGTCAATATCCCATAGCAAACAAACAAACAGAAGCAGCAGCAAAGAAACAGGAGCAGACAGGGAGGCACTCAGGCCTGCAGACTCTAAAGCTCCTGTTTGCTCCCCCTGCCCTCTACTGCCTCTGCATGCATAGATGAACAAATGTCACTGACACCTTCCTTAAGTGCTCAGGACGGCTTGGGTTGGGTCCAAGCCCTGCATCAAGGCAGCCCCTCCTGTATTTGCACAGCTCTCTATTTATGCAATCAGTTTTTAAATGCACTCATCAAATACACTTCACATTAAACCCAAACATTCTTCCAAAAGAGATGAGATAAATAAACACTCATGCTTTTTGAGCACCTCCTAAGGGAAACCGGGATGAAAAGCACAGCCATTTCGGCATCTGCTCTTTGTCCCGCCTGAGGACTTTTAAGATTGTTTTAAAAAGCAAAGAGCAGTATCAGGATTACACAAGGCCACTTGACTAAATCTCCAAGGTCCAGGTAAGGACTGGGAAGTCTCAACCATTACATCTCCAGCTTGGCTCAAGAATGCTCCAGCTCCTGTTTCCCTGGGGCTGATGGCCACTCCTTCCTATTTGTCTGGTGGAAGCAGGCATTTCCCAAGGCCCCAGGGCAGCACAGCCACGTCTGCAGTCCCAGGAGGCTGCCCCTGCCTTGGCAGCAACATGAGTATCGTGTCAGGTTTGAATTGCCTAAACATTATTATCTATCAGTGAGCACTCTCAAATAGCCAAGTACCCTCTAGGCTTCGGAGAGGTGCTGAGTCTCTCCTGGTGACTCCCTGGGATGCTACACACTTAATAGGACACCAGAGAGGCCAGGTGGGCTTTCTGCTTCCCACTGCTTCCTTTCCTGACAACCAAGTGTCCTTCTGCTGGGGAACATCTGGAAGAGGAGCAGAGCTGCCAAGCCCGGGAAGTATGGTGGGGAGACACTGAGCTCTCTAGGGGCATGGGTGGGGGCCACAACTCTCTGACACCTGTACCCACAGGATCTGCAGGGATTTTTTTTTTTTTTTAACAGAAATATTCCACTTCCTCTTCTTTGTTTCTGTTGGGAAGAAGGCATAATTCAATTGGGATTGTTCTCAACCTCTTAAGGGATATGAGAGGGAAGAAACAGAGAAGCACATCTAAGGAGGGCCCGATAGAGAAAGGCTGGAAAAGGCTCAGGTGACACTGAAGCTTTTACTTTCTTTAATCCTCACAACAAACCTGCCAGGGCAGCGTCGCAGTTCCTCAACCTGCTCCACACTTGAGCAGCAGCCCAGGGTCTCCAGGCACTTTTGAACGAGGCTTCCCCAAGCCTGTGGCCTTGACTGCATGACAATGACTTCACATTTTAATCAGCACCCCAGGGGACTCTGGCCCTCAGGGAAGTTGGGGAAGTCAGCAGCACTGATAGCTCATTCCGATGGTAGTGGCTGTATATTTGCTGCATCTGCACTGACCTACGGGTAGGGTGAAAGTTCACCAATAATGCTGCACCCCCACCCCCAAGCTAAGAAATGCCCTAGGAACCAAGCTTTCAGGACTCAGTGGGGCCACGCCCTGAGCCTTGCTTTCCCCATCTGCCTCACAAGAACCATAGCCTCTGTCTCACATAGAGGATCATCTGGAGGATCACAGAAATAACCTAGTGAAATGCCAGGCACAAAGGAGGTGCCTCCAAATGTGCTTTCTCCCACTTGCATCTAAAGGTCCAAGGCTGCAGAGCAAGCTCCCCTCCATCCACTAGGGTACCTGGCATTCACTAGTCCAAATATCTGAGCTGCAACCCAGCCAACACAGCACATGTGTTTTTCTTTCATCCAGTTCAAGTCTCATCTCCTCCATTGTTCTGCTAACAGATTCAGAGTGGGAAGGAACCTTTGAGGTTATGCAAAGGGGTATGAGTTCTACCTCCATGTGGCTTGAATACCTCCAGCCAGAGGAGGAGGCTGGAGGCTCACCCCTGACTGGGCAGCCTGCTCCATGAAGACCCTTCCTGCTGGGGACTGCTGGGGACAAGATGGGTCGGCCCCAGCCCCAGTGAATGAGGGCGATAGGCTGGCCCTCTCTCTGGATGTGCCTGCATGTACGCAGTGCAGGAGGCTCCAGGCTGTGGCACAGAGAAGGAACCTCAACCTGAAGTCTCTCAGTTTTGCTGAGCCCAGGCCACAAAAGAGAAGCCCTGAAGAGAAAGTCCTTATTTCCTATGATGGGTGCTGGTGCCCTGTGGGTCATATCTTTTCTCTCTTCTTTCTTCTCTTCTTTTTTCCCTTCTCTTTTTTCTTCTCCTCTTTCCCCTTTTCTATCCACCCTCTTTTCCTTTCTTTCTTCCTCCTCTTCTCTTTGTTTTCCCAAGAAACATTTGCAAAACTCCTACTCTGGGCTAAGTTGGGCTGACCAGGGTCATAGCAAAGTTGCTCAGGAGGAGTTCAGCCTAGAAGGGAGACAGACTCATAATGGCAATGACGACCATCTTCAGTGTCCCCTCATGTCACAGAGAACTGTCCGAGTGAGACCCCTTGTGTGCTGGGTGCATTCCATCACAGGTCACACCCAAGCTCGGAGCCCTCTATGGCTCCCAAATAAAACTCAACCCCTTACCAAGGCCTTCCTTTATCGCGACTGCCTACCTCTGGAACTTTATCTCCTATCCCCAGCCCAACTCCGTCCCTCTGCCCCCATCACTGGCCTTCTTGTCCTTCAAACATGTGACTTTCTTCTCAGGACTATGCCCCACACTTCTTTCCACCTTCATGGCTCCCCATCCAGGTACCAGTCAGCGCTCTTCAGATATCTGCTTAAATGGAACCTCCCACAATGGGTCCCTTGGGCTCCCATGGCTGGACAAGCAGCCCCATCACTCTGTCTGCCCCTGATTCTTTGACCTTCCTGATACCCTGCTGTATACTGATTTGTTTAATGCTCTTATAATTCACCCTAAAACATAAACTCTAACAGGACAGGAGCATTGCCAGTTTTATTCACAACTGCACCCCTAGACCCCAGCATAAGGCTTAGGTGTCAGCTGGAGCTCAGAGATGCATGTTGAATGATGGGATTCTCTGTGCAAAGCCTGCCCAAGTGGGGACAAGAGAAAAGTGTGGTTTGTTGCTTCAGTTAACACTGGGGGTTCCTGACATGCTGCTCTAGAATGCAGTAACCACAGCCTTAAGAAATCCAGAAATCCTCACTCTTTACAAAGATGCAGCTATGATGCAAATCCTATAGGAGACAGTGGGCAGCCAGATCTTTAGCCAGACTTCTCCTTGAGATTCAGTGTTCCCATCTTTAAACTGGAACAAAATTGTTTATCAATTATGCATTCTAAGCTCCAAGTGCATGTGCTCAGCCTTGTGCTGAGTGTTCTACATACTTGATTCATCATTTCCACCATGAGGAGAGTAGGGAGGGGTCATTCATTCTGTGAACCAAGAGGTGACGCTTCAGAGAGGATGTACGATTTGCCTAAAGTCACACAGCTGGCAAGGGGTGGAGTCAGGGCTTATACCCAGGTCTGTGTGACCCCAAGCCCATGCCTTTTGCTTCTCCATGTGTTTTGGATGTGTTCATGACCTGCCTAAGAGCTAGTGGACAAAGATCTCGTGCTGTGAACCGCAGCATGTTTTGCAAACAGAGGTCATTATTTTGATAGTTTTGAGTTCTGACTCCCTAAGAAGGGAAAGATTGACTTTATTTAGACAAGCTGATCACTCAGTGGCCCTTGGGAATTCTCAGAACTGTGACCAGGTCCACTTTGCTGGGCATTCAGCCTCTTCCTGAGGGCAGTGGGGATGGGACTGGGGGAAGGGACCTTCTTATCCAAAGGTCTGTCCAGCCCCCCTGCTGGTCAACTCTCAGCCAAGAGCAGATGGTCTGCCCTAAATAAAAAGACTCCAGGACGTTTTAGAGATCTGTCCTTTCACCCACTGCCCCTCAAACGGCCATCAGGGCAATCAGAGTGAGAATGCTGGGCTTAGATGCATGCACCAACAGAAGCTGGAGGAGGGGGTGGTGGGAAGGGGCAGTGGGCCAGACAGTGCTGCAGAGAAGAGTAGGGAACAAAAATGGATTTAGTACTTACTGCCCATTTCCATGCAGGCTGTAGGGTTGAGGTTCAACTCCTGCTTGCATCCCTTACTAGCTGTAGGGCCTCAGGCAAGTCATGGAATCACTCTGTGCCTCAGTTTCCTCACCCATAAACTGGATAGAGTATTTGCACCTCCAAAGTTATTGTGAGATCCACTCTGCAGAGCGCACTAGCAGCACTGTGCCTGGCACCCAGCAAAGGCTCAGAACAACTGTGGCCTCAGGAGCTGTTGCCACCCTCAGGGCACCACATCCTTGCTCCCAGACCTCCTGTCCAGTGGGAGGCCTTACTTCCCCTCCAGCCCCTCCAGCAGGAGCCTGAATAGCTCTGGCCTCTCTCCCTCCCACTTTTAACCAATCTCTGGGCTCTGTTTGCTCTGCTTCCTGTTTCTACACAACCATTCTGAGCACAGCATCTTTCCGCCCTGCATTCAGGGCCCCAGACCCAACCACAACAGTGATCCCAGAGCTCTGTTGCCTCTTATGTCACGCTCATGCCTCAAAAGCAAATCGTCTATTAGAGGTGAAAGGTTAAGATCTTTATTATGTAACAAATATCTGCATATCAGAAAGAGAAAGCAGGGACCCCCATAGGAGGAGGCGGTTTCCACAGCAAAAACTGCAAATGGCCAGCAGGCATGGGGAGAAGTTCAAGGTGACCAATAATGAAAAGAAGTAATTTCAAATGGAAATACCTGCAGGTTTTACCTGCATGCTGAAAATATCATCCATAAAAGCTATGGATATTTGTGAGATATATGCACCTATATCTCACATATATCTATCTTATATATATCCATATATATCTTACATATAAGGGTAAAACAATGGAGATATGAATAGATAGTGGAGAGATAGATAGATAGACAGACAGACAGACAGATAAATGATATAGCTGGAATGATTCTACCAAAATATCACACTAACAACTCTGGTTATATCCGGCTATGTGATTAGGGATGACTTATGCTCTTTACTGTAATTTTCTATAATTTCCAAATTTTCCCCAATAAGCATGCATTTAATATAATGTCTCTTTTTCTCTCCTTTTTCCCTCTTTCCCTGTGGTCCTTCCCCTTCCTCTCTCTCTTCTTTCTCTCTCTCCCTTCCCTCCTTCTCTCTCTCCCTCCCTCCTTTCCTCTCTCCCTCCCTCCTTTCCTCTCTCCCTCCCTCCTTCCCTCTGTCTCTCATGCACATTATATATTGCCCCATTGACTGTGGGGGACAAACTCATAATACTCATGGCTCTTCATGTCCTGCTGGCTTGTCCACCTCCATCTCCTGCCTTTCTCTCCTTGCATTATATTCTCATTAAAACCAAACTCCTGGGCTGGGCACTGTGGCTCAAGCCTGTAATCCCAGCACTTTGAGAGGCCGAGGCGGGTGGATCTCTTGACCTCCTGACCATCTTGGTCAACATGGTGAGACCCCATCTCTACTAAAAATACAAAAAATGAGCTGGGCATGGTGGCGCGTGCCTGTAATCCTAGCTACTAGGGAGGCTGAGGCAGGAGAATTGCCTGAACCCAGGAGGCGGAGGTTGCGGTGAGCCTAGATCACGCCATTGCACTCCAGCCTGGGTAACAAGAGCGAAACTCCGTCTCAAAAAATCAAAAAACAAAAAACAAAAAACCAAACTCCTGCCAGTCTCTAAACACAGTAGATTGCTTCACTTCCGTACCTGACTAAGCCCCACATGCTCTTCAAAGTGGCTGAGGCCTGGCCTGCTCTGGGAAGGTTTTCAGGGCCCCAACCAAAGGCCCCGCCCCTGCCAGGTCAATGGGCCCTTGGGCTCCCACGGCACCCCAACCCTCCTTCCTCCATGGCACCCCCAGGCCCACTGCTCTATTCTGCTGCTTACTTTGATCTGCTCTGCCAGTTTATGAACTTTTCTGGGCATCTTTGTGTCCCCTGAGCTTACAGCACTTGCCACCAAACCAAGGGCTTAGGATATACTTGGGGAACTGAAATCAACTTGAATTTTGGCATTTTTGACAGGTGAGTATCAAATTATTCTCATTTTAGAGATGAAGAAAACCAACTCAGTATCACATTGGTAGGTGGCAAAGCTTAGGTCTAAACACAGGTCATTCAGTGGGAATTGGGGGTGGTCTAACCTTAACCCTTAGGGTCAGGCTCGCAGGCTTTCTCCACTGATGCAAACTTAATAGGGAACAAAATGTACTTCAGGAAGCAATAGGGAGGGAAGGGTGGCTGTATAGTAACTGCAAGAGCTAATATGTCATTGACACTTCTATGTGTCAGGAATGGTGTAAGCATTGACATACCTCAGTTCCCATTAAAAAAAAATCTTATAAGAAAGGCAGCCTCATTACCTCCATTTAGAGGTAAAAAAAACTGAGTCACGGACAAGTTGAGTCCCTTGCCCAGATCGCAAAATTGGAATTTGGACCCCACCAGGCCAGCTCACAGCCAGCACTTGGCAGCTGAACTGCGCTGCCTCGTAGAGGTGAGGTATAGTTGTGCACTGCAGGCTGTGGGGATGGAGGCATTTGTTCTTCAGGATGAGCTGCTGCCCCACTGAGGCAGGAGACACCCACCACTAGGGAACAGACTGAGATGGGCACGTTCTCAGAGAAGAGCTGAAGCCTACTACATGGGTGGCATCATCCGTGAGAGAAGGGTACCTGCCCAAATTCATACCTCCTCACAGATGGGTCACTGGATCAGGAAGCAGGTGCATCTGAGGGCAGGCAAGAGGCTGGGTGAGAAACACTTAGATGAATCGAGGGAGGGGAGGATCAAACAACCTGCCTGGGCCCCCACTCTATGTAAGGCACAAAACCTACTTAGCCCATTTAATCCTCACCTCTTCACTGTACCACAAGGGAAGTGATGCTCAAAGATATAAGCTAACCTGTGCCACAGCACACAGCCAGTAGCTGATACAGTTGGGATTCACACTCAAATGTGCCTCAGGCTTCCAAAGAAGAGGGATTTGTCAGACACTCCGGAGTGTACCAGAATCCGGATTTCCCAGGCTTGTCTGTTTCGTCCTACCTCTCCCAGACCCTGGTCATAGCTCTTATGGAGATGGTAGGGTGTGGAGAGTGGCAGTGAGAATAGCAATGGCCTGGCAGATGGGAGGTGCCAACCCCTGCCACTCTGAACCACCCCTGAATCTCAGTTTTCTTTTTTTTTTTTTTTGAGACGAGTTTCAAGTTTCGCTCTTGTTACCCAGGCTGGAGTGCAATGGCGCAATCTCGGCTCACCGCAACCTCCGCCTCCTGGGTTCAGGCAATTCTCCTGCCTCAGCCTACTGAGTAGCTGGGATTATAGGCACGCGCCACCATGCCCAGCTAATTTTTTGTATTTTTAGTAGAGACGGGGTTTCACTGTAAAGTGGGAGTGCTGGATTTGAGGTACTGTCTTCAGGCCCTTTTTGAGAATAATATCCTGAACACCACTGTTAATTGTACTATACCCTTTCTGTGAAAACAGAATGACACAAGCGGGCATCTCCATGCCTGGCTGCAGCAAGTGGATGGGCTCAGTGGGCAGGCTCACCCATGTTGCAGCAGTGACCCTGCTGGCTTCGAGGATTGAGTTAACAGAGATGCAAGGTCAAGTCTCAACCCACAAGAATACACAATACTTAGCACAATTCTTTGTGCTCCCAGAGGAATCCCATACATCAACACTTAATCTGGCCAGTGCTGGGCTCTGAGCTTACACATATGACCTCATTTCATCTTTCCTTCAGCCCCACAGGGGAGATACTGGCAAGCCTTATCCATTTTATCAATGAATACACTCAAGTCCACATAGCTTTAGTGATTTACTCAGTCATATTCATGCCAGATGATTCTTAAATGGCTTAACTTAACAATGTTCCTCCAGAAATGGACCCCACATGGTGCAAGAAAGTTATGAGTGAGGATGGAGTTAGATCCAATTGGCCTGGAGCCCAGGGCCACTGACCTGGTTAGTCTGCTAAGTGGAGGAGGAGGGCATGGGGCCTCTTTGTGCCAGGGGCTCCCTAGTTCATGGTTATGGGAGGCCACAGATGTTACCTTGAGTCACACAGCCAGTGACAAATCTGACCCCAGGCTGTCTAGCCCCACAGCCAGGCTTGTTTCCCTCTCCCTCAGGGGGGAGCCTGTAGACTGCAGATTTTTCTCCTGTTGAATGGCCTCATCCTCTACAGAGCTGCAGGGGACCCTCACCCACATTTTCTGGAAAAGTATTCTGCAACCAGGAGTAATCACCATGACAATCAGGGTCTTCTCACCACCCCTGCGGACCAGGCTGCAACTCCTTTCTACCCAGGGCCTGCAAAGGTTGGCAGGCTAATGAGTCAGGATCCTGAAAGCACTCTCAGAGCGGGGTAGCCTGGGCCTCTGCAAGTGCCCTCTGCTCAGCTCCATCCAAGGGGCTGGGAAAGTGGAAAGATGGGACAGAGACTGGAGACAAGCAGAGTGTTCCCACTGACTAAGCCCCTGGACTCTTCCTTAAACCCCTGTGGTCTGAACGCTTCATAGCAGTGGGTGGAAGTCCTCACTCCCAGACAGCCAAGGCCTTTCTCAGTCCACTCTACTTCCCTGGACACAGGAGCCATGACTGCCACCAGCCAGAGGCTGCTGCTTCTTGACAGGGCCCAGTGCCTGGAACTTCTGTCGGCACTGCCTATGTTCACTGTCTGTGCCCTCCTCATTTGTAAAGTGCCTACATAATTGACCCTATGACAGGGATACTCCCCTGGCCCATGTCCCCTCTGCCACTTTATGCTTAGAGCCTTGTGTAGGGGAAGTCTGTGTCCAGCAATGTAGGAGCACCCCAGGGACAGGACCTCTGTGCCACCCTGTGCCACTCTGGAGGTTCAGGGTCTGGCATCGGTGAATTATTAGTGAAAGAATGAATGAACCACCCACCTGTTCGTTAGCCTGAAGAGGAAAAGTAGAGGTGCACGGGTGGGGAGACAGAAAAGTGAGGAAGGGGAGAATGAGGAGAAGGGGTCCCCGGGGCACTCTCTACTTACCCAGCCTGGCCCTGAAGCTGCGGACCGTGTTGCCCCCTCCCGGTCTCGCGCCCTGCCGGCTGTACTTCTCATAGAGCCGGTGCATGTGGACAGCGACCATGTCCTGGGCGCCGGGGCCCAGAGTGGCAGCCGCGTCCCCAGGGAGCCGCTGGGGATCTCTGTCCCCCTGCAGGCCGTCGGCGGCGGCGGCGGGCGGTGCGGACCAGGCGCGGGCCATGTGGCTGCAGCCCGCGTCCCGGAGTAGCAGCAGAAGCAGCGGCAGCAGCGGCAGCAGTTGGGGCCCGGGTCCCCGGGCGGTCTGAGCGGGGTCACGAGCCATGGCGCGGTGAGGGCGGCGAAGGGAGAAGTCCGGGAGGAGGAGGGCGAGCGCGGGCGCACCGGAGGCTGCGGACGGACCTCGCGGCGGGAGGGCGCTCGGGGACCCCGGGCAGCAGGGCGCTGGGTACCGAGGTCGGCCTGGGGCGAGGGGCTTAGCGGGGCTGGCAGCGGGCGTGCGGTCCGTGGGTCCAGGCGGCCCGAGACCCCGGCCAGCAGTCACGGCCGTCCGGAGCAGCGCAGAGCCGAACCGAGCCCGAGTCGGCGCGCTGCCTCGGCGCACTCGCGCCACGAAACTTTGCAGCCCACAGCGCTGCCGGCCCGGCGGGTTCGAGGGGCGGGGCGGGGCGGGGCGGGGCGGCCGGCGGCGCCCTCCGGGGAACCCGGCTGCACGCCCCGGACCTCTGGGGCTGCCGGCGAGAGGGCTGTCCCCGGCCCAGCTGCCGTGTGCGTGCGCCCGTGTGTGGCGGCGTGCGCGCGCTGGGGAGTGCGCCCGCGAGTGTGGGGGGCGTGGGCGTGGGCGAGCGCGCTCCCCGCTCCCCTGCCGAGAGCCCGAGAACCAGCCCTGCGGCCGGCTCCTGTGTGTCGGCGCCGCAGCCTGGCCTGGCCGCGAGGGGGGCTGGGCGGCATTTGGAGGGGGGCCTGCCTGTTGGGTTGCCCCTGCAAAGTCATGCGATGGCTATGTGGTTGCAAGATGACAGCTCCTGTGAGGACCAGAGAAGGGATGTGTGTGCGCCCAGTTGCCTCTGAGCCAGCGTGTGTCCAAAATGCGAGTGTGGGGAGCAGGGATTCCCTCTGGGCTGACTCCGAAAAGAGAAGCCCTCACCCCAAAGCTCATGGTGTCCAAGGCAAATGGAACAAGATCCTGATTAAAATTCAGAATGTGCTGATTAACCATCGCCTTATTTGGCAACAGTAATTCCGGTTGTTGAATGAAAACATCAAAGGTCCTTATTAATCTTTGGACATGTAGCCTTCAGGATTGTAGGGGTAAGACATGCTTTCAATTTGCCTTTCAAAATATGTCCAAAGCATCAGAACAGAAGGAGAGAAAGCAGTGGCTTTCCCAAGAAGGCTTCCCAATGAAGTGAGGGTGTAGTGAGTCCCTGGCCTCTGCCCCTCAGCTTAACCCTGGGGCAGAAGGTCCTGAACTTTATCTTGCCTCTAGCAGGATTTCTTCCCCATGGATAGAATTCAAGGGCTCCTATGAACTTGATGGGGAAAAAATACATCTTTATTTTCATTAACTCTAGCTGAAACTTACCATTAACTAATATTATAAATGCAAGCAACCAACCACAGTGGTATTAGTGACCTTGTCACCCATAGGCACCATCCACAGATATTTTCACATCATGTGAGAGTGATTGCAGATTTATCACAGCATCATGCTTGCTCAGTACTACTTCAGTTAGGCCTATGGCTAGTTAGTTAAATACTAACAAAAAGGAACATGATTACTCTCTTACAAAATTGTTTTAAAATATTTTTGATAACTAGATTCTAACGTAATTGTCTTCCTTTGTAACTCTGCATATTTCATTTTATGTATTTAAAAACATTAAGAAAGGGACCACAAGCTTCCCCAGACTTAGAAAGGGGCTTAAGACCCACCTAAAAACTTTAAGGACCTTTGGGAGGGAAGAAAAGGGCCACTTCAAGCCCATGTTCTTCCAGAAAGCTCCCAGATACATACAATCCATGCTACATTTCAAAGGACTATTTGCAAACTTGTGAACAGGCTGTTCCCTTTACTTGGTAACTTTGGGCTCTGTGAGCCAAAATGGTTACTTTTCTTGGAGGGCTCACAATGCAATAATTGAAAAATTGCTGGAAAAAGCTTCTGTTGGTGTGTAAAACACAACCCGTTTGTAATTTTTTAAAATCTTGCAATGTCAAATTAGAGGCCATCTTATTAAGAGCTTCTGACCTGTAGCTTTTGGAAAACCGAGAGAAGCATTTTATTTCTTTTGAAAATTAGATCGCAGTGTGTTCAACTTCCCATTAGGATAGCTCCCATTTGTTCTGAACCCGTTTTCCAAAATGGTTTGTCTGGAGGTGAGATGATCGTGTCACTAAGCCTGGGACTTAGTGAATCTCTCCTTATAAATGATCCGGACCATCCTTCAGTGATCCCTTCCCCCACTCCCATCCCTGTTTCCCTCCTTCTCCATGTGCCCCTCACTTCCCCTCTGTCCCTCTCTCCCCTTCTCCCCCAGAATGCCTCTGACCTGCACCGGCTGGGGGTAACCTCTGCTCATGGGTAGTTTTGTCTTTGCTGGGGCCATACACAATTGAGGCCTGTGAAAAGGAGGGTGAGTCCGCAGGAGGCCCTCACAAGCTGGGCTATTCGGAATCTGCGTCCATTAAAGCCTTCTCGGTCTCCTTAACTCATTCCCGCTCCATTCAAGCCAGCGTGAGGGTCAGGCTCTAGCCGGCACTAAAACCTGTAGGGTACAGATTCTCTGACATTGTTGGGAAAGAATTAAGGCATCAGCCAGGGACAGCTAATATTTCTTGCCTCATTTTATTGCTGAACAGCAGGACTGTAAAGTCTTGAACACGAGCACTGTGGCCCCCTTTCATGTAGCCGAGATGATGGGATAAAAATGTGTTTGGTGAAGCAATTCAGATTACCACTGGGTCACATCCTTGCTGACTCTCAGCACGGTCCTTGAAACAGCATCACTAAGACAAGAAACAATCTCTGTGCAATGTCAGCTCATGCAGAACAGTTTTTCTAGCGTAGAAATGAGGCTAATTGTGGAGCTTGCCCACGAGAGTGTTTTGTTTTTTAATAGCTCAGGCCGCAGCACAAAATAAGAGTTGAGATGGCAGATTGTGGAGACAAGTCCTCAGAGCTGTGATTTCTGACAGCTTCCTACAAAATTATCCTGGTCCTAGGAATTCTGTACATTTTCAGTTACCCAGGGAGGTCTTGAACTTGCCGATTGGAGTGGAGAGTGTTCTCTCCAGGGAGATGAGAGGTAGTTTGGGGACCCTCAGTCCTCTAGGCCTCCTTGCCATAGACTCTGGGGTAGCAGGGTTTTCTTCCGCTCAGAAAGTCATGAGCAAGGAGTGAAGAGACTCCATAGTTATGAAGCTCTGCACCCAAGTAAGGAAGTGAAAACTTCCTTGGGTAGTTTTGAAAAGCAAGCTCATTTGGTCTCATCAAGAACCTCTCCCCAAATAAATGTTCCCAAGTGATTGTTTCATGCCATTGCCCAGTTAATTTGTGGCAGAGCCGGTGTATGATTCTAACCAGCTCTGCAACCCTGGGGCAGCCGCATTGCCTCCCTGGAATCCTGGGAGCCCCTTGTTTAAGTGAGAAGCCTGGCCTCCAGGCTCTGCTGCTGCTCCTGCACTCTCCTCCTGGTTCTGTAGTCCCATGTCAACACATTCTTGGAAGTGAGGGGGGTTCCCATGACCCTGGGGAGTCCACTGGGACTAGACTCATGGCCCTGTTTTCACTGCTACTTAGCTGTGTGATGTTAAGCCAGTTACTTGCCCTCTCTGGACCTCAGTTTTTTCAACTCTAAGATGGGGACGAAGGAAGGATAGTATGAGGATTCTTGGCAAGGTTTTAAAGTGAGATCATATTAACTGAATTGCATTGATCATTGGGACTGGTCTTTTCATTGATTGTGGGTTTGAAAGAAGTCGTAGCACATTTAAAGTGGACCCAGACTGGCAGATTTGGTGAGTTCAAGCCTGGCTATTCCTTACTCTGCAGAGGAAATTTGCTTCTTAGTGCACGGTGCCAACAACTAAAAAAAAAAAAAAGTGGGGGGGGAAGGGAATGTTTTCTTGATGAGGAAGGCATAGACCTCTACCAAGGAGCTGTTAACGCTGTTATTGTCTGTGTCTGCAGGTTCTTATCCAAAGGTTGGGAGGATGATTCACAGCTCTTCATCTAGATTTTCAAAGCTCCTCGCCCTTAAAGACAAAAGCAATGCAAGTGAGTCCCTGTTCCCATTGGGGCGTGAGCTGTGGGGCGCTAGAGACAGACACCCTAGGGCCTCCCCAGGCCGCCAGGCCAGAGCATAATAAATCTGTGAAGTAACAAGCACAAAGGACTTTATAATCAATGACAGATTTTAGTTTTGCTCTGGCAAAATCCATCCGTGGAGTTTACATTTTATAGGGAAATAACTACCCACTTTGTGACTCCTCCTCAGCCCATATTCTCTTTCCTAAAGTTGGAAAAAACTCAGAGAATCAAAGTCGGCTCCTCTGAGAACCATGGCAAGCGAAAGCATGACTTCCCCTGGGCGGGAACCCAACTCTCCCGTTACTTCCTAGGGTGGTGGGGGCCATTCATTTCTGTTTTGCTAAAATACCCGTGACATGTGAATAAACCAGGATTACAGAACATTGTCTCGGTCAGTAATCTGAGCCGGCATGGGCTCTGGTTTGATGAAATATGGTGCTCTCTGAGCAAACATGGGAATTGGTATTACTTCTCGTTAAAGCTGAACAGTGGGGCTATTTAGAACTGACGCATGAATGCGGCACTGTGGGGAGTGACAATCTGAAGGGAACCGATTTGGGGGAGGAGGGCAGTGGGGTGTGTGTGTGTGTGTGTGTGTGTGTGTGTGTGTGATAGAGAGAGAGAGAGAGAGAGTTGGCTGGAGCCAGCCAGTTAAGAGGAGTCTATGGGAGAGGCAGCCAAGAGGACACTTGGAAAATTAGGGCCCCTTTGTGGCTGTACAGTCTGCTTATCACCCCCAAATAATCTTGCTCAAAACCTTTAACTGTTGTCCTTCACAGGATGCATAAAGCCTTCTGTCCTTGTCCTGGCATTCAAGCCCTAACCATCTGACCTCTCTGTCCTGCTGGAGTCTTTCTCCAGCTTCTGTTCTTATGCATCCTCTTCTGCCCCAGAATTTAGGGCAGCTTCATTCCCTGAGTTCTCATCCCAGGCCCTTCCCCATGGCCTTCGGGTGACTGTGGCTAATCCCCCTGTTGCCGGCACCCAGGTGTTCATGGCCTCAGCTGCCAGGACTGCTGTCTGCTGAGGGCTCACAGTGCAGTGTCTCCCCAGGAAGGCTGACAGGAGTGGCCTCACTCAAAGTCATCTCACACTCTGAGGACAGCCAAACACAGTGACCGGGTGTTCTGTAGGGCCACCTGCCTCCAAGGCTCTCTATACCACTGTGTCATTTAGCTGCTCCCTCTGGCTATCCTGTTCCCTCCACTCCCTTATCAGTGTTTCCCCCTAGCACTCTCCCATACACTTCTGCACTCAAATTTCTATCTCAGAGGCCCTACCCTGAGACACCCAACCTGAGATAGTTCATGCCAGGAGTGATCTAAGCAAGTGGGCTGTAAGGTGGGATCTGAGGCCCTGGTGCTCTGATGTCCAGTGGCAATGAGGACTCTGTGGCTAAGTCCCCATAGCCTGATGCTGTGGTGATGAGCTGGAGGGGTCACTTTCTTATGGGTTAGAGAGGTTCAGGGGAAGG